TTGCTAAGGACTTCATCTGGACAACTTTAAAGGTGATTTTCTCAATATTTCCATTTTTTTGCACCCTCAGATTCCAGATTTTCAAATAATTGTATCTCGGCCAAATATTGTCCTATCCTAACAAACCATACATCAATGGAAAGCTTATTTATTCAGTATACTTTAAAAAAATTGGTCCAGGGTCACATTTATGCACTGCAATTTCATTTGCATGTTTGCTCAGTACATGACAGAGAAAATATTTTTTCATAAGACCTAAATTTAGACCTAGGTCATGATGACTTGTGAAATATTTTATGCTTTAAAGGCCTAAATGTCATTGAAGGAAGAAATATAATTACTTTTTATTTACAGTACTTTACACTCCTGTATGTCATTTGTTATGTACAGTATATGTATATGCATTATAGTATATGTATACGCATCCTGTACGTATCACACACATTTCTATGCAACAGAAAAATCATTATTAAATTAATGTTTATGAATAAAAATTAACAAACACGCAATTAAATTGAGTTTAATAACCTTTAAGCAACCTTGTGCTCTATTCCGGAATTGTGCAATCCAGTTGTGCACTTTGGGTGTCAATAACATTGTGATTAAAACCAATGCTTCCTGTACTTTTTTGAATCGGAAGAAATAGGTCAGCCAAATGTAACCTGTTGTAAACAATGTTGGTTGTTCTGTATTACTCTCCAAACAGGCCTCATTAAGTCGAGGCATTAATACTCCGCTGTGCTTTCAGTGCTGCGGATCGCTGTGGGATCAGCTCAAGAGAGTTCTTTCCTGTCGACGGGGCTTGTTATTGTCACAAGCATCCTCACCAGCTCCTCTTGCTGTGAAGTTCCCTAATTAGTCACCTCACCGCAGCGCTCGTCTCTCCTGATTCACAGAGAGCAGCACACAATACACAAGGCACAAAAAGAGCCATTTTAATGAGGCTGTGTTTTCAGGTGTACTAGAGATGAATGTGCTAAGTGAATTTTGTTTCACAGGTAGTGGGTCACATGTAAAAACACTGCTTATTGGGTACTGGGATAAAACAGAACGCAAAACTGAGACACATGGAAGTTTATGTTTATACATATTCAGAGACATTCACCTTTGTTTGAGTGCATATGCTTTTTCTCATTAAATGTGTGCATTCAAATACAGGTACAGCACCATCAGATACAAAATTATTTATTCAAATATTTATTATAAATATTGACTTATAGGTAATTCAATTAAGAGTTAGTTAAAGTGTTTCAAACAGATGTCAGATTGTTGTTATTACTTGTCAACAGGGCCTTTTTATTATGAAGCAAAATATCTAAAAAAAAAAAAAAAATTAAATCCCAAACACTTGGTTTTCAATTTATGTGAAAAGAAAAAAAAATTTATTCAGCAAGGACCCATTACATTGATCAAAAGTGACAGTAAAGGCATTTATAATGTGTCAAAAAAACATTCTATTTATCAAAGAATGCTGATAAAATTATATTAAGGTTTCCACAAAAATATGAAGCACCTCAACGTTCAACTCCGTTAATAAGAAGAAATGTTTCTTAAGCAGCAAATCAGTATATTGTGTATAAAATACAGAATGGTTTATTTAGGATCATGTGACACTTAAGACTGGAGTAAACACTAAGCATTGCATCACAGAATTCAATTGCCTTTTTAATTAACAGTTATTTTAAGTTGTAATAATATTTCACAATATTAGCCTATGGTTTTTACCGTATTTTTTTAATCAAATAAATGCAGTCCTGGTGAGCATCTGATTTTGAAGAGACTTCAAAAAATCTTACTGACCCCAAGCTTCTGAATGGTTGTGTATATACAGGCCTAATAATAAATAATCAAACTCATCAGAGCCGGTTTGATGTTTTTAAATCATTATAATTACAGCTGAAGAATCACAGAAGACCAAAACACATTCATGATAAACACATTTATAGTAATAGTGGTCTAAAAATTAGCTCTTTATAGCTATGCTGTGATGATGTGACTTTCATCTAACATTTTTATCACAGAAAAATCATCTTATAATATGCCATATGCTACAAGCAAGGCTCAGATATGCACAGGAAACCCCACTGAGTTTTAAGTCCAACACTTTAACTGCTCCAGTGGCACGATATATTTAAATATAGTGTCTGATTTTCACATTGGAAATCAAGACTAATGCAACTAATAATTTCAACATGCTGTCAGTTCCACGCTGCGGCTCAGTGGCAAACAAAACAACCATATCAAGTTGTCTTGAGCCCGCCAATCATTTCTCTCAGCAGGGTGAAGCACTATCCATGGGGACGGCTTTACCAGAATCCCGGCTGAAGAGGATATGTGGGAAGAGCCAGCAGCTGTGAACCCATTGGCCTTGCCAAGTGCTGCTGGACAGCCAAACCAGATGTGCAACCCAGTAAAATTCATATTAGAGATGACGGGCAGACAGATGGGTGGGGCTGTGGGTGAGTAAAGATACGTCGTCTCTGTGGAAAGCTGGCAAACCACACAAAAAAGAGAGTGAGATACTCTCTTAAATGAAAAACCGAACACCACATGCTTTCAGTGACATTAAGATTTTATTTTTAACTGGGAAAGTATGTAAAAGCATGTTGTGTGTGTCTATGATCTTGAGTTTCTTTGGTAAAGATGCACTTAGTCGTTTTTATGTTGCATTGGCCAAGACTTATACTGACACCTAGTGGTGTGGATGCGTCATTGTGCAAAAGTTTAGCGTTAGTGATTCAGTTGTAAAAATGTGCTAAAGCAGCTAATCTTGATTAATTCATTTTGTAAGTGAAGGTATCTAATAATGAGGAAGAGAGTCATTTTTTAAGATAAAGTGAGTAGTATTTGACTGATCATGTGATTTCAAAATGGCTGCCAACATGAGGCGACCTGCTTCATGTAAAGTAAAACAGCTTTTATTAGGTTGAGTGAAGTACTTCTCATGTGTGTGTAAATAGTTATCCTTTGTTTATGTATACATCATTTTGAGGAAATAATCACTGATGGCATCTTTTAAGTACCACTGGTGTGTATAAAAAGAAACTCCTTCACAAAACTACAGATTCATAATGTATTTTCATCTCGTGGTGTTTGTTCAAAACCATGCCAAAGCCTTGCTTTATCAGTAAGTGTGTGTGAGTGCAAGTTGGCGTGTACATCCATGTCCTAAGACAACCCTTGTGTCTGTTTTCTTCAGTTGGTCCACAAGGTTTTGATTATAAGGAACTGCCCCAGGGACTCCAAGACCTCCGGAGAGACCAGAAAGGGCAAACAACACAAAGACAAAAAACAGGCCTTATGGTTATGAATGTAATATTTATTTCAAAGTTCTAAATCAATGGTGAGTCATTCTTACCAGAACAGTGCAATTTTGCAGTTTTGTTGCCTGATTGGCATGTGATCAGTTTGGAAACATTTTCTGCGTGCGGACTGTCACTATCTATGGAATGTGACTGTGTAACTGAACCATGCCAAAGGACAATTGCTTTGCATTTCGAAGAATGTGATTATCAGATCAGGGTTCAAGCTTGCGTTTAGGAACAAATATCACCACCTAGTGGCTTTTAATTATGCATATGTTCCTACTTAATCCATTTGATCATTCTTATTATAGTTTACTCAAAACATTGTAAGACAACCCTTGTGTCTGTTTTCTTCAGTTGGTCCACAAGGTTTTGATTATAAGGAACTGCCCCAGGGACTCCAAGACCTCCGGAGAGACCAGAAAGGGCAAACAACACAAAGACAAAAAACAGGCCTTATGGTTATGAATGTAATATTTATTTCAAAGTTCTAAATCAATGGTGAGTCATTCTTACCAGAACAGTGCAATTTTGCAGTTTTGTTGCCTGATTGGCATGTGATCAGTTTGGAAACATTTTCTGCGTGCGGACTGTCACTATCTATGGAATGTGACTGTGTAACTGAACCATGCCAAAGGACAATTGCTTTGCATTTCGAAGAATGTGATTATCAGATCAGGTGATTATCAGATCAGGGTTCAAGCTTGCGTTTAGGAACAAATATCACCACCTAGTGGCTTTTAATTATGCATATGTTCCTACTTAATCCATTTGATCATTCTTATTATAGTTTACTCAAAACATTGAAAAAAAAACCTTTAGTTACTTGAAATAAAGTAAACATTAACTGAAGAAAAATAAAATAATAATAATAATAACAACAATAATAATAATAAACTTTATTTCAGCTAGTGCCACGGCAATTTTCATTTACATTTAGTTTAACTTGATGCATTAAAATAACTAAAGCTGAAATAAAAATGAATTTAAAAACTACAGACATATAAAAAATAAATAAATAACAATGAATAAAATGTAAAAAAAACCCAGCAAAATTACTGAAACTTTAACTAAAACTAAAACGAAACTAGGAAATGTAAAAAAAAAAAAAAAATGAATTCAAAATATTAATGAAAAATATACTAGTATCTAAACACTAGTTATGACATGAGAAAGATAATGTATCCCAGAGAGGTTGATTTCATTTAGCCACATGCCAGTTGGATTTAACATTCAACAAGGAAGTGGTAAATACACTGCTGTTGAGTATCAAACCTTGTCTTAAAGAATTTGAATATATTTTTATGAACCATGCACAATGATAAATCAGAACAGCTGATGTGTTTGGCATGCTGAATACTGTGAATTTCAAAATACAATACTTAACACTTTACATATCAAAGATCAGAACTGAAACATATGCCACATAAAACTAATAATAAAATGTAGTGAGGCATATCAGCCACTGACTGAATTGACAACAGTAACTAATGGAACATTCCGGATGTCTGTGTGCATGTGTGGAAGGATACGCGATGAATGCCGAGCTCACTTCCCTGCCTTTAGTAAGATTAATAACAGACTCATCTGGGCCGTAAAGCTTGAAGCTGAGGAGAAGTTATGAAAACCTTGTGGATTAAGCCAGTGTTTAGAGTGAAACATTCCACTCTGATAAAATTTCCAAGCATGCCAACATAAAGCACGTGTCTTGAGCTTGATATCACTCTTCATTCAACATGAAATACTGTCTGTTGAGGGATCAGTAACTTTTCTATGAACGCAGACACTTCTCAGTGCTGTAAACAATAGCTATGTGATCAGACTTTGTACATGGATCATTAGTGCAAATCTGCAGGAAATACTATATGGATATTATTGGAAAAAAACTACCGAGAACATTTGTAAGCACTTGATGCTTGACAGGGGCTGTTTTCACATGATTTTGACACACACAGACTGGTCATCTGGCTCTTCTCCTCTGAACCACGATGGTTCCAGCCACAACGTCATAAACAGTTCTGTTGTGCTGGAAAAATAGTAACGTGATGAAGATTGGAAACAGGAAGGCGATGGAGAAGTTTTTGTTTAAAGCCCGTACTGTGGAACTGCAAAAAAAAAAAAAAACATAAATAAATATATATATATATATAGTTAAATAAATACTGTATATATTTTTATTATTATTTTATCAGGGCTATTTCTGGCAAAAACCCAGAGGTTTGATAGCCACCACATTATATAAATATATGCATAACTCACGCAGGTAAGCTGACACTGGATGCCGGTACCACCAAAACCCGATTGGGCTGCACTAGGACTGTCGTGTCACATGTGACGACTCGAAGCCCCAGCAGGAACTTTCCAGGAGTGGCACCTCCAGCTCCCCAAATACAGATGATCTGCAGATGAAGACCGAAGGAGATGTGTGAGCTGTTTAAAAACAAACTCGTAACTCATTCAAACCACTTTTAGGCTACAGAGTTTTTCTAGCAAATGCTGTTACAAAGTGAAAATATGACAAGGCTGATAAAACTTTTTAAAAATATAAATTAAAAACAGATTGAGAGACAAAAGATGCTCACTCACTTCATAGACACACACTAGGACTCTGTATGCTAAAGCCACGACCATCATCTTCTGCAGGTCCTCCAGTGACGTGTTCTCATCAATCTCCTCCACGATAAACTGCATCATGAATTTGGAAATATCTCTGTTTAGAAGATCAAAGACATATGAACTCTCATAAAATACATATACACTCTGTTCAAAAGCAGGGAGTCAGTAAGATGTTTTAATGCTTATGAAAGAAGTCTCCTAAGGTCACCAAAACAGCATAATTTTTTTTATAAATAAATAAATAGAAATACAGTAAAATTAGTAAAACTGTATAAAAGTTAATTAAAATGTAAAATTACTGTTTTCTATTTTAATATACTTTAAAATATAATGTATTACTGTGATGGTAAAGCTGAATTTTCAGCATCATTATTCCAGTCTTCAGTGTCAACATTTCAAAATTTAAAACAGGCATGCCACTTAATATTTTGAGGAAACTGTGATATTATATGTAAAATAGTAGTACATCTATGGCTGTCCAGTATAGGAATGATTCAAGAAGGATAATTCATTTTTGTTCTCAACACGTTCTCTCGACTCACCTCATTCCACTGAGATGCATGATCCACAACACTATGGTTGCCTTAACACAGAAGAGAATGAAGAAATCCACAGTTTCTGCCAGAAATCTACGGAGCGGGGAGGGGATGGCGTACTCTCTACCTGAAAGAATAAAAGATGAAGTCAGGACCATGAAGTTAGAACCTAAGTGTACATTCTCAAGTTTGCACCTTCAATGTTTCAACAAATAATAAGAAAATCAGATCGACAGAATTCACATCAGTGTCACAAATTTGCTTACATTTGTGACCCTGGACCACAAAACCAGTCATAAGTAGCACAGGTATATTTGTAGCAATAGCCAACAATACATTGTATGGCTCAAAATTATAAATTTTTCTTTTATGCCAAAAATCATTAGGATATTAAGTAAAGATCATGTTCCATGAAGATATTTTGTAAATTTCCTACCATAAATTTATCAAAACTTAAGGGCGATTTTCTCAATATTTTGATTTTTTTTTTTTGCACCTTCAGATTCCAGATTTTCAAATTTGTATCTCAGCCAAATATTGTCCTATCCTAACAAACAATACATCAATGAAGAGCTTATTTATTAAAAAAATAAGACCCTTATGACTGGTTTTGTGATCCAGGGTCACATTTGATGGTGACCTACAAAATTATGCAGAAAGGGAAATGTCTAATTACTAGTAATTCTTTCACTATGTAAATTAATGTTGGCCTCTCTAGGTAGGCTATAGCTGGTAAACAGGTGTCATTGTCTGTCTGTCATGGCTTTTACAGTATCATGTATTTAGTCTGGTTTTTATTGCTGGATTATGTCTTTACACCAAATTTTAAAGGGGTCATATGATGCTTTTTTAAAGATCATTATTTGGTGTATTTGGTGTAACAGAATATGTTGACATGCTTTAATGTTAAAAAAACACATTATTTTTCAAATACTGTACATTATTGTAGGCCTCTATGCCCCGCTTCCCTCAAACCCTTCGTTTTCTACAAAGTCCCTCCTTCCGACAAGCGCAGTCTGCTCTGATTGGCCAGCTGAGCCAGTGCATTGTGATTGGCCGAACACCGCAAGCACTCGTCAGAAATGTAACTTCCCTTACCATAATCGCGAGCTTCATCTTTCAAAATAAATGTAAAGACAGAGCCCGAAAGGGGAACAGAGTCGCGTGACAGACACAGTGATGAAGCTGGTATGTGTTTGCAGTACACAAGCCACAGTTAAGTCAGCTGACTCCACTGTGATGTGATCATTGCTGTTCTGTTGTAAGTGATCTTAAAGATTCCTAAATGCATCTACTTTCGGGAGGCCAAATAAAGTGCTTTTGCTTTCTCGTAGAAACACACAGCGTCTCCCTGACATGCTGCTTCAACACTAACTGCAGTTACTGAAACCACGCCTTCTTTCTTTGCGTGCACATTTGGGCGGCATTATGCAAATATTCCCACATAGTGAGGTAGATATGTGGGGCGTGTTAGAACGAGCCGTTTTAGGGGGGTGTGGCAGAGTCTTAACTTTGATAAAGAATATCTCTTTGGTTTTGAGACTTTAGTCTTTGCAACTTCAGGGATCTTATCTATGCACAATCAGCTTGTAACACTCCAAAGAGAAAGGAAAACTTGAAATCGCATCATATGACCCCTTTAAGTAGGCACAGTGCAGCCTTGAGACACCTCAATGTGATGACAGAACATATAATATTAAAAAGTACATATAATGGGGATTATGGATATACATATCACTAAAGGTACATAAAAGTAAGTAAATTTAGTCAAATTCTTCATTATCGTTTGTTAACATGAGTTTAATGAAGCAGCTAATTACTCCATCTCCTCGGAGCAGTGGCTTGACAGCTACCTGCCGGCTGTGCTGGTGCTCTCTCGGCGCTGCTGGATGCGGCAGCGGTTGCTGGGCGGCTGCTCATCTGGTTACACCAAGCGGCGATGTCAGCGGGCGTCGCGCCGGCGGGCGGAGGAAAGAGCGGCGCGGACAGGAACACCCAGCTCTGCCAGCTTACATAGCCACTGTAATAGCGCCACATCCACTGCTGCAGCCGCTGGCAGTATTCAGTCGTTGACATGTTGTCATTGTCATCGGACCCCTGACCGTTTTTGACCGTTTCTTCCGCGCTATTCTTCGCCGCCATGTTTACTGGTTGTTTTATAAGTCTTGTTTGGACTTCCAGTTATTAAAGAGGCTAATCGGCTCAGGCAGCGGCCATGACAACTGCTCACTGAAGCCGGAGTATACCATTTATTGCCAGTACATATGAACAATGTTTTTGTAGTTGGAGATTTTCAACTACCTTGTCCTGTGACAGACCGTTTCCATAATAACATTTATTATAGCAAAAAGACGTGTCTGGTACAAAAGACACTAACAGTGTAAGCTGAATATGAAATAGCATCAACTGTTAGTGCACCCCTGTGATATGCAATAATGTTGCCTGCGAATATCATTAAGACTGATCAAGTTAATTATAATGTAACACATAATCAAAGATAGGTATACAGTCATGATAAATCTGAAACTCGTTATTTAAAATAGTAATACAGCAGTCATGCAATTTCAAACTATTGCATTAATTCTTTAAAAAATGTTATTAAATAATTGCTATAATTATACAGTCAAAAATTTCATAATTATCATTGACGATACACATTCAAAGCCAGTTTATTTTCATATAGCTATTATTATTATTATTATTATCATCACTATCATTATTATTATTAATACTATTGCACAACAAAAGTGATTTATCTGAAACATTAATACAATGGTAAAACAAGTAGGAATTATTAAAACTCTGTAAATGTTGTAAACAAGTGCTATAGGCTACTCAAAATATATATATACATAAAGGATTTTACAATTATTGTCCGTGCAGCATTTATGTCCTCATAATAATCGAGACTATATGGAATGTTTGTATTTTTGTTAAATAATTTGTCACACTGAATAACCATTTAAAATGAACTGGTAAATGCAAAATAAAATAAAACATTTAAATAATACTACTACTACTAAAAAAAAGATAATATTGGCACGACATTATATTGACAATTTCGTTTATACATACATACATATATATATATATATATATATATAGCCTTTATGTATATATATATTTTGAGTAGCCTATAGCACTTGTTTACATCATTTACAGATAAAAATAACTGTTTTAATCATTCCTACTTGTTTTACCACTTTATCAATGTTTCAGATAAATCACTTTTGTAGTGCAATATATTTAAATGTATATCAATTAAAATTGTCTTGATAATAAAAACGCTACACATTATTCCTTAAATACCGCTTTATAAATGTCATTTTTTGAGCGTGAACTTGTCTAGACTCATCACTAGATGGCGACAGTGTCTTTCACAGGATTTTGGTTATAGTAATGAACTGATTTATTCTCACTAAAATTAAATTAAGCTTTGTATGTTCAAATAGAGACCAAAATATACATAATGACAGAGATTTTCAAACTTAAACAATCTTTATTTTAAACGGATGACCAAGAAATATAGAGGAGGAATGAACTGTAAACACACGAGTACATGGGAGCTGTCCCAAATTCAGTTTCTGCATGATGGCATGTGTACAGGCTCACTGAAATGAATTGTGCTTATTTAGACATCCGCATGTCAGTGCAAAAGGGTCAAAGGCTTCAAAAGCTGTCCACCGGAAACAACCCTGTTTTGTCCCTGGATGCTTGTTGTGGTGGCCAGCTGTTAAAAAACTGTGATGCATTTATGTGTCTGTGTTGCTCTTATTCTCTATTGGTGCTGTATTTGCTGACTGGGCTGCCCTGGGCCTGTGAGTAAGGTCTGGCCGGCCTAGTGACTGTGCTGGGCCCTGAATGGAGGCCCCCAGGCGGAACAGAATCAGCCCATGTGAGGATGATCACCTCTGACAGGACGTGAGGGGACTTGCGCAGAAATAATCAGGGACAAATAAAAGCTGTGTCTAGGAAACGCTGACCTGCATGGAACTCGCCACCAGCTGAGGATTACGAGCGAGGTGTGTGAGTGTGTCTGTCTGCTGTCCATAATCATAGTATCTGCACGGCATGAAGCAAAAAAATCACGAAGGGTTAAAGTATTCCAAATGAAATCACAAGAGAACACCAAAACACTTGAATTTATTGTCTTATACTTGAACTTTGTTACTATTGTGATTGTGTCAGGAGTCTGTGCAATGTCTGTTAAGGGAGGACGGAGGCAATAAGTGACTCAAAACCTTTGCTGACCTTGTCATACACGGTAACAAACGACCTGCGCAATCAAGGAACTTTTAAATGTTAAATGCCAATTTTGGTGCATCATTTCATGGTTAATTGTCCTAAAGAAACCCCTACCATTACAAGCCTGTAGAGGAAACATAGAGGAATTAAATAGAGGAATCAACTTTCCTGCATGTACTGTAAGAACAACACAAACCCTCTCAACCTTCAGCTGCAGACTCAAAACTCACTAAAAGGTATTTTAATTTAAATAAAATGCACATGCATGTTATATTTTGGCATAATGGCCAAAACATGAGTAGCCTAAATGATTTCAAGGCTAAGGTCCTACATCCTGCAGTGATATGCCTATGTCTTTGCTTTGCTGACTTGGTGTCATATAATCTCATATCTCTGTAAAGTCTTACTGTTCGTAGTCTAAATACCCTGATTTCAGCATTGGTGTTAAGAGACCTTAAGAAGAAAATGTGATGACGGCATGCTGACTCAGAGTTCAGGAAATCATGTGATGCACTCACCCGAGATTTAACCTCAAAGATGTACATGATATTTAGACACACAATATTTACTTTAGAAATGTCCTATATCACTTTATAAGGGTTATTCCTGGGATTCTGTAATATTTCAGTCCCCCAGAGGGAAAAAAATGGGTCACAAAAATTAATTGTTAGAAGCTTTTCACAGTACTTTGGTATGCCCATTATAATGAATAAAATTATTGCATTTTAATATTTTTTAGCATAAAATAATGTCTTAAATCTATTTTAAACCAAGCATTTTGTCATGTCCCTGAGTCACTTCACTGAGTTTGTACTTTTTGTTTGTACAAAATTATTAACAAAATGTGCATAGTGGCTATGATTTTTGGCAGTAACGTAAGCATTTATTTGTGTTCATTTCTTGTGAAAAATATTTTTCTAAAAAAAAAAAGCCAGATATTTCATTGGTGTTAAGAGACCTTAAGAAGAAAATGTGATGACGGCATGCTGACTCAGAGTTCAGGAAATCATGTGATGCACTCACCCGAGATTTAACCTCAAAGATGTACATGATATTTAGACACACAATATTTACTTTAGAAATGTCCTATATCACTTTATAAGGGTTATTCCTGGGATTCTGTAATATTTCAGTCCCCCAGAGGGAAAAAAATGGGTCACAAAAATTAATTGTTAGAAGCTTTTCACAGTACTTTGGTATGCCCATTATAATGAATACAATTATTGCATTTTAATATTTTTTAGCATAAAATAATGTCTTAAATCTATTTTAAACCAAGCATTTTGTCATGTCCCTGAGTCACTTCACTGAGTTTGTACTTTTTGTTTGTACAAAATTATTAACAAAATGTGCATAGTGTCTATGATTTTTGGCAGTAACGTAAGCATTTATTTGTGTTCATTTCTTGTGAAAAATATTTTTCTAAAAAAAAAAGCCAGATATTTCATTTAAAAAAAACAGCCTCTAAAGTTATGTCTCTCAGTTTGAACTCAACCCCGTCACACTAACCATTCTTCACCCATAATAATTTAGACTGCACTCATATGTGACATTATTTACCAAAAAATACATCATTCAGGTCCCTTTAATAGTGGCGCAGAAAATGGTTAGTAGTATTATACCTTTTATTCATATTTTTTAGGTGTATTATAGTCAGGGAGGGTATTGTCAAGCTGAACAACTCAACCCTGTCACATAAAAATTATTTGGAAAATGATTGTTTTTCAATATTTTATTTTAATCCATAAGTATATACAGTGCACTTATTTTATTGGTGCCATATATGGTCTGCTCTCCTACACTACATGAGGAGCAGTAGCTATTTTAAGTGAAAAACCTCAACCCCGTCACACTCAACCTTGTCAAAAATATATATATTTCTCATTGTTACTGGGTTGTAAACTTGTGACAGGGTTGAGTTATTTACTTCATTTATTAATTATTTTAATTAAAAAAAATATGAAAGAGTAATTCAAAGAGTTTCAGTAAATATTACCAAACTCATGACAACTCATATTTTTATTATAAATAGAATATTTGATGCAATATATCCACTTAAATTTGGACTATATCATACATTAGAAATTGCACCACATTTGCAGCAGAAAGACAATGTTGGCCATGCAGATATTTTGACCCAGAAAGAAAGGGACAATATGAGCGAGAAACAAAACCGAAAATTTAATTTGAAGGCAATGTATCCCTTCAAATGTGTTAAAGTCATCAACCCCGTCACACGTCACATTAATATATTAAATACCTTTTAAAGCAATTTTAAACCAATCCCGTTATGGTGTTGAGAAAAAAGGTGTCTAAATCTGAAAAAAAAAAAACTGAAAATAATAAAAGGTCTTTAATGTGAGGTGGGAAAATATTTTTTTTAAAGGTTTGATCTGTGCCTAATGATGTGGGGTATTTAGAAAATGAATCATATGTAGTTGAACAAAATGTATATTCCAAGTTGAAATGTTACCAAATGCCAGGAATAACACTTAAAAAAAGACAAAGTATGTCCTGATAAACACTTTTGTGTTCTTTTCTTTTGTTTTGTTTAAAAGTACAAAAAATCCATGTATTGTTTTGCTTTACTTTGCATTGATTTGTTTCTCTCAATTATTATGACTTAAAAGTGTTTAATGACATCTCACCATATATCAAACAAAGGAAAACAAATCTAAAAAGGCAAAAAAAAAAATAGGGACAATATGAGCGAGAAACAAAACCGAAAATTTAATTTGAAGGCAATGTATCCCTTCAAATGTGTTAAAGTCATCAACCCCGTCACACGTCACATTAATATATTTTTTTGAAAGAAAAATAGGGAAGACAATTGAGAATGAAAGCATTTCTTGCTGATTACCATCTGACATGGACTAAAACAATAAAATTGTGGTTTTAGTTCAACTTCTAAATTAAAAATATTTTTTACAAAAATAAAGAGGACACACAATTTGTCTGTTTTT